AGGTTTATATATTTAACCTTTAAAATAAAAGTTAAACAGTTATAAAAATTGGATGGTTACAATTAAGTGACGGTGTAAAATTGTTTTTACACCGTCGATATATATATATATATATATATATATATATATATATATATATATATATATATATATATATATATATATATATATATATATATATATATATATATATATATATATATATATATATATTATATATATATATATATATATATATATATATATATATATATATATATATATATATTATATATATATAATATATATATATATATATATATATATATATATATATATATATATATTATATATATATATATATATATAATATATATATATATATATATATATATAATATATATATATATATATATATATTATATATATATAATATATATATATATAATATAATATATATATATATATATATATATATATATATATATATATATATATATATATATATATATATATATATATATATATATATATATATATATATATATATATATATTAAGTGACTTAGACAATACTCTAATAAGTAACAACATTGATTGGACAAACATATATTTTAATTTTTAAACCCATTCTTTCACACACTGAAAAGTTAATCACATAATTTAGGCCCGAACAAAAATATTAGATTCAAATAATAATACACTGAGAAGTTAATCACGTAATTTAGCCCGAACAAAAATATTAAGTGCCTTAGACAATACTCTAATAAATAACAACATTAATTGACAAACATATATTTTAATTTTTAAATCCATTCTTTCATACACTGAAAAGTTAATCACATAATTTAGGTCCGAACAAAAATATTAGATTCAAATAATAATACACTGAAAAGTTAATCACATGATTTAGGCCCGAACAAAAACATTAAATTCAAATAATTTAGACTTGTGAATAATAGTTATATACTCCTACAAGCTCCACCATCTATTTAATATATATCATTGTTGGATAGCCAAAACAAGCTCCACCATCTATTTAATTCTTACTTTATATATTTGGGTTCTATCCATCTTTTGAAATTTGTTTTATGGTTTGGGAGATAGGTATGTTGTGCCACTAAAAATATCAAGGTGTTACACGATCTAGTTTGCTAAAAGTAAATGTTTTGGGCAATTTCAAGACCAGAGATGAAGACTTATTAATAAATGTTTGAAGAAGACGTGGTAAAGATATGTGGATTTATATATTTATTAAAGATATTGTTGAGAATCAAGTATGAGGAAGAAGTCTCACATTGATTAGAAAAGAAAAGATTGAATATTATATAAGTGAGAGAACTCAGACATTTATCACCTTAATGTTTTAGGTGGGTATGTAGTGTGTCTTTTACAAAAGGTGTGTCTCAGGTAAAAATGCTCCCTCCTTAGAATTACCCCTAACAGTGGTATTATGAGTCTTTGGTTTCGAGATAGGGACCGACTTACTTGTATCGAAACACTTCCTGTGGATGGTGGATAGAAGGTGTTCTGTTGAAGAGTTTCAACGGTGGTACAAGTGTATGTGGAAGAGAGAGCTTCTACACGAGGGGGAGCATTGTGGCTCATACATGAGAGGGATTTTTGAGAATCAAGTGTGAGGAAGAAGTCTCACATTATTATAAAAAGGAAGATTGAACATTATATAAGTGAGAGAACTCACACATCTATCACCTTAAGGTTTTAGGTGGATATATGGCGTGTCTCTCACAAAAAGTGTGTCCCAAGTAAAGAATGCTCCCTCTGATTTGCCCCTAATAGACACACGATTATGTTTTTCATCATGTTTTTTTATTGTTGAATCTGATCAAAGAACAATTCACACATTTGTGGAAAGTCACACGCGAACAATTTTAACCGTCATTACTACATAAGGACCAGATCACGTCATTTCTGATATTCATTTCATTCTCACTCTCAAACTAACCCTTACTCAGCCATTAATTCGTGGCAGGAGTGTGTAGCTGTAGAAATGTTGAGACTAAGCCATTGGATTGACTTAACTCGCACAGATCAAATAAAAATTGCCACCGCACTTTATTGTTTCTAAAGGAATGGAAAAAGAGAGAATAACCCAAAAAAGGGGGGAGAGAATCTAAGTTAGGGGATTGGTTATGCAAAGGGAACGTATTAGCACCCTAAACATCTACTGTACTCCGTAGGAACCTCTTTGAAAATCTGTGTATTTTGGCTATAAATGTTGTATACAAAAATAGACTTGTGAAGATGACAAAAGAAATATTTTTATAATTTTTGCATCTGCCGCGGTTGTGAACTTTTAGTTCCTACGTACCACCTTCTGTGCAATAGGGGATCAAGGTACTTGTAGTTCACCTTTAAAAAATTTAAAACACAAGTGTGTTGGTTAATTTTAAGAGACGAGACATCATTGTCTTACCCGAGTGGAAGAATATACTTACTACCCACGATTATGAGAAAGGAGAATTTGCGTCTTCTCAAAGCGGAGGATATAGCTTGAATTTTAAAAATCAACAAACCATCGCTCAACACCCAAGTGGAAAATATCTCACTTCACTATATATCATAGAAGTATAGTAGCCCGTATCACTACAACGGTTGGCAAGAGTCTAATATTTTGAGAAAATTTTAAGGTAAAAATCCAAAATGGAAAAAATGGTTTGAATGAGATTGATTGGCTTTTAGTCTTCTCACAAAAAATGTCAAAGTATGATTAAGTTGTTTAAAGTTTGATTAAGAAAATATTTTTTTTAAATGCATGGACCTAAGTCCAAGTTTATTATGAAAGTGATTCAAGTTTAGAAAACAAGAATAGTTTTGAAAAATAGGGAGAATATTTTTGAAATTAAAGAAGATGGGAAGAGATGAAGGGACTATCCTAAAGCATAAGATAAAAGCTAGGGAAAAGAACCATTTAACCAACAAGAAGCCAATATTTGACACAATGAGTCAATGTAGAATTTACATCCTTTGGATTGAAACCAAACAAGAAAAAATATTAAACCTCTTAAGAGAACCAAGCTTCGAAGGCATTATGTATTTACAAAAATTAAGCAGAGTAACAGCTGTATACAGATGAATTTCCAATCACAAGCAAAGCACATAACCAGAATAACCTTCACACAAAGAAAACAAACAACCCAATATCTTGGGGTAAACTCCAAGAACTCCAGATAAAATAACAATAAAAGTCACAAGGTCTCAAGGTAGGTCAAGTTCTCTAATCCTAAGTCCAAGAAGTCCATAACTCCATCTTTCCAAAGATAGTAACCAAATAGTCCAAGTAACATTAAAGTTTTTTATGGTTCAAGTTGATTATTAGGTATCTTCGAAGAGAAATGAAAAGCTCAAGTGAGCAAAGTAAAAATGACATAAAGATAAATGCTCAAATGAGCAAAGATAAAAATGGCATGAAATGAAAATGCTAAAATAAATGTGCTTAAAGTAAAAAGCATAAAGTAAAAGCATAAAATAAAGTCAATTGATAGAAATTAGAGGTCAGTTGAATGACCATCTTTAAACTTGCATTTGAAAACTCATTAGAAGATTGATAAAATCAAAGTCTCTCAAAAACAAGTTTCATTTGCTTTTTATAAAGTATATCATTCATTTCAAAATCTCAAGACAACAATGAATGATCAACGATGTTTAAATGATTCACTTAGTTCCAAAATTTATGAAGATTCATTAGAGGATTGATAAGACCAAAGCCTCCTAACAATGAACCTCAAGATTATTGGATCAAAGGTTTCAAATTAAACATGCTTGGACTTGCAAACATAGCTTTGGGCCACGAATGATCATTTCTCGAACCGGGAAAAAATTTAGCGCTTTGTTAAGCAATCATAAGTTGACTTATATAGAAGTCACACCTATTATGAGGCTGGTCAATAGCAATCTATGTACCATATGTTTATAGAGATGATATGTAAATCATTCTCTAACAACATATAGTACAAGTAAGAAAGGGATAAGATGAAGAGGGAGAGGATATATTTAAATCAAAAGTTAAATCAAACCATCATTAAAATCATCCATCCATTTTAGTGGAGTTAAACTCAACACTTAAGATCCAATGATGTTAATGGAGTTTATGATCAACAACACATAGTCAGAATATATTAAAAAAATAAATTGCATTTAATGAAAAAAATAAAAAAATAAAATTCCCTTTTAAATTGTTTTTAAAATGAAAATAAAAGGTAAAATAGCAAAATATATTCAAAGTATCAAAGAAAAATTAAAAGAGACCATAGAAAAATCAGAAATGACCTCAAATATTTTTGTAAATTTTTTGGTAATTTTTTAAAATAGAAAAGTATTTTAAAACTAATGAAAATCACTCAAATAAGTGAAGAAAAAGATAAAAAAATAATAGAAGTCAAGATAAAATTCTAGAAAACTTTCAGAAAGTCAGAAATGAGTAAAATGATTTTTATAATTTTTTTTCAGAATTTTAAAACATCAAAAATTATTTTAAATAATTAGAAACAAGTCAAAATAAAGGAGAAATTATAAAAAATATCAAATCTGAAAATAAAATTATGAAAAAATAAAAATCAGAAAGAGAATATTTGAAAATATTTTTGTGAATTTTTTCATTTATTTTTATGTCATTTTCTTTATTTTGCTCACTTCAGCTTTTCATTTCTTTTTTAAGATACTTAATAATCAA